TGAACAAAAGCACATTTTTCCTTACTTACATTTTTCTTAAACAATCTCTTCTGAAGATGCAAGTTCTCGTTCTTGTTGTAGATTTAAATTTTAAAAATGTCCGTTTTGATAAATGCTCAGTTGAGTTTAACGTTATATTTTTATGAAATTCAGGTAATGCAATGGAGCAATGGAAGACATATTCTGGCGCTTATAAAACTTTACCATATAAAAAAAGTGAATAAAGAAATGTCGGAAGAAAGACGTCAATGTAAAACAAGCAATACCGAACTTCCTAGTGATATGAAACAGAGAAACCTTGAGGAAACCGGATCCAAAATCTAAAATCTAAAGCGATTTTTTAACTTTTGTTGAATGTACCAACGCTAGAGTAAGCCTTAATGCTGTGGGGAATAGAGTTTGAAATATTATACTGCACTGTAAGTAAAGGCTTTGAAACATGGCCGTTTTGTGCCTTGGAACAGGCGGAAAACCCTTATACCTCCTGGGACTATGATGCACATCAGAGCTTCCGACTAGCTTATCGAATAAATACTAGAGCTGTTGGGTAGCTGGCTTTTTTATGTTAATATATTTTTGAAAAGCCAATAAAATGCATTATAAAATTACTAAAAGTCTAAAGAATCTTTCTTCTAAAAACCCTATCAAAATAACAAACCGTACACCGTAGTCTTCTTTACGTTGTGGGTCAAAGCAATATACTTTTTGGACCGTTGGTGGAAAGAGACGCAACCCTTTTTTCACCATTTTCAAATCAAATATCGCGCCCGGGAAGCTATTGAAAATGATGCTCGGCGGTATTTTCATTAAGTTCGGAGTACTTTTCCGCGTCTCGCTGCGGTACAAATCACTTAAGGTGTCAATTTTAGCAGCGCGCGCGCGAGAGAGAGAGGCGATAAATATTTCCCTTGGCGGAAACCTAAGACCGTCGTTTCCCTTGTCAAAACTTGGAAACGAATGTGCCCGATAAAAACCCACCCACTGCAGAGGATTTACTTTACGCTTTTTTGGCTTTTCGGTTAACGTTGTTTGGACCGTTAGTTTTTTGATGTCGAAGGTCTAAATTTAAATGCCGCAGTTCATTTCGAAGGCATCGACGTTGCGTATTGTGGGAAAAATTAGTTCACGCCCGCCCTGTTAATTTTTTTCGTAATTTTGTTTTACTATTATAGTCTAAGAGCCAATGGGCGGCTTCCTGCATGTATTTGACCATACCTGGGTTTTTGTACATTAAGGCCCCTATATCTACTATACGTGATGTGGGGACCCACTAAGTCCAAAGCGGTGGACCCAGGTACTGCGCAGGAGACACAGGTATTGATTTTTGGCGAATTTTAAATATATTTGACCACGGCTGCCATTTTCAAATCTTAAAATATATTAATACCATTAGCATGCGGTTAACATTATGGCAGACAGTTTTGAAAATGCTCAAAAAATTAAAAATTTTAAAAGTATTTGACCAGGTCTGCCATTGAGATATATTATTCGTTATAGTCTTTAAAACTTATATTAATAACGGCAGACGTTTTTATTGAGTACACTCCTCAGTAGATAACAAAATCTTTACTACTACCCGGACAGATGTATGCATACACTGCATGTAGCTATATTTTTCCAGCTTATAGTATTTTATTTTATAGCTACTACCACTTAAATAATTTAGGGTTTATACCTGAGATGGATATGTTATAATCCCAACCTAACGGTTTTGGTCAGATGTTTTCAGTATGTTTGTGAATCTCTATGCCTAGTGTTTAGTGAATTTAATAAAATACGCAGTGTTGCTTTATGTTATTTTTCTTTAATTAAATTATTATTCGTTAAATATCTCTGAGATTATGCCGAGTGACAAAAAACTAGTGAAATGTGTTTTTTGTGCAACGGCAAAGACTGAGAAATTATTGACATTTTCAAAAGAGAGAGAGATGGAAAAATTTTGAGGTTAAGAAAACATTATAAATTAAAATACAATGAAATAATTTTACAGGACAAAATTTTTGATTCTGTTGTTACAAAGCGTTTACGGCTTTAAAAAAAAATTGCAACCGATCTCAACAAAGAAGTTGTATTACAACCCACTACGTCGTCGTCTGCAACTGAGCAACCGTCAACATTAGCTGATAGCTCAATGACTGATGATACAATAGTACTTGATAATCTTGTAAAAGACGTAAACGTTTCTGAGACAGATGTAGTCGAAAAAACAGATATTGGCGTTGAATTAGATCAGTCGTTGGCAGAAGAACCCTCTGTAGTACCGTGAGTAGTTACAAAGCTTCGGATGTGAACGAAAATTTTAGTAAAAAAATACAAAATTTTGACGCAACCTCAATACCAACAACTTCTGAGAGCAAATTACATTTCAACTATTTGGAAAAACGCTTACAAGAAGCTTGGACCCACTGTAGTATGGTTGGATTGAGGAGGACAACACATTTGCCTTTAAATGGTTCGATGGAGATCAACTTCCATGTTTTGTTAATTACCAATGTCCCTGGTAAGTTGATAAAAATTAATTCTTTATCAAATATATTCGGATCAATTTACTAATTATTTATATTTTACAATTTACGGTTTTTTATCCGATTCAATGGATGATGAAGAAGAGTTAGCCTATCACAAACATGACTCCGACACCTTTCAAATTTTGTCTTAAATAAATAAAAAAACATTGAAATACAGATTTGAATTGTTTTTTGTTACTTGCAATATACCCCAAGATTTCAGATTATTTCGCAATATATCTACTATATACTAATCTTATAAATTTTAGTATATAAAGTACAAAAAAAGTATTAATTTTATACAAATAGTGATAAAATTAATTATAAGTGAGTTAAATTTATGTAAAATAGCGATCGTAATACATATACCTCTGACCGGGTAATAGTAAAGATTTTGTTATCCACTGAGGAGTGTATTTAATAAAAACGTCTGCCGTTATTAATATAAGCTTTGGTCGTTCTGACTTCCACCAGTTAATTAATTTTTCTGTATGTTTCGAGTTTCAGTAGTCATCTTGTCAAAGAATACCTGACACTTTTTACAGACTCATCTTGCCTAGATTTTGAATCATTGCATTGGAAAGTATCCACTTTTCTTAATTTTGATGTGTAATTTTCACTATATTTATTTAAAAACTGAATACGCTGACTCACTCACTCACTGTTCACATAAAAATCGTCGGTTCCCATCATGTCAAAACCTGATCCGCTTACAAAATACTTCGAAAATCTAGTTTTTATTTACACCGAGAAAGATTTCATCGCATCCGTAAAGAAATAGACCAAATCAATAAAACTCTTCTGTCTCTGCATCTTGAAATCACTTCCATATTGCCCCCATCCGAGTTCGACACCCTTTCAAACACAATTCATGACGAAGCTGAAAATCTTCGTTTATATTCTACCCAGAACCACATTCAGATATTTGAAAAACTACCGTCAACACTAGTGAAACCATCAAAATCGTCTCAACTACCAAACACGGTGAAAATTAGTTTGTGCAAAAGATTACAAGCTCGTCCTTGTCCCACGTATTATCCCAAAAGAGGAAATAATTTCAAATGTCGAGTCTAAATCTGCCATCTCAAGCAGCTAATGAAATTCTATTTGGAACCGCAAAAATCCTTAAAAAAACAAAACCTCCTAAATCAAGTATTTCAAAGCCTGAACGCATTGCTCTAAAACCTCTAAACTCTTAATCCCAACATCAGATAAAGGAAATGCTATGGTGGTCATGAACACAACTGAATATCAGGAAAAGGTTACAAATGGTTACACCCTTCATGACTGTAAAATTCTTACACAACACAACACTTAAGTATTAATTCGATAACCACTACAGGACTGCTGAGACTGCCAGAGAAGACTGGGAAAACGGGCCACCAATCAATTCAGAAATAACCTGGTATGCGGATGGCTCAAAAACTCAAGAAGGAGTAGGAGCCGGAATATATGAACCCAAGACGAAAAAGAAAATCTCTATTCCAATGGGTAAGCTAGCAACAGTGTTCCAAGCAGAGATCACTGCACTAGAACACTGTGCAAGAGAAATAAAAGCCAGGAAGATCCGTAACAAATCAATTATAATTATATAGATCCTGCAATCTAATAAAATAACATCCAAGTTAGTTCTGGACTGCCATAAGGCATTAAACGAGATAGCAAGCCAGAACAAAGTTACTCTATCATGGGTACCGGGGCACGGAGGGCATAAAGCTAATGAAGGCGCAAACGACGCAGCCACAATGCGCCTGATTGGACCAGAACCCTTTTGTGGGGTGTGCAAACCCGTTGGAGAAACAGCCATCAGGGATTGGATGGATCGAGAATCCCGACGATGATAGAGGGACATGTCGGGGCAAAGACAGGCCAACGAATTCCTAAGGGGCCCATCGGCCAATTTTGCAGCGGACCTACTAAGGTACAATAGAGAAGCCGTAAGAATAATGGTAGGTCTGCTGACGGGTCACTGCAGGCTTAAGAGGCATCTAAGCCTGATGGAGGTGGAAGAAAACACAGAATGTAGATTCTGGCACGAAGAGGAGGAAACAGCCGCACACATACTGTGCCACTGCGAAGGCCTAGCGAGAGTGCGTTTCCATCTGCTGGGCGATACCAAACCAGAGGCAGAGAGCTATACGAGGGAGCCATTATCGAAGTTGTGGAGTCTGGTTAGAGAGACGAACCTGGATAAAGCTCTATAGCTATGGAGAGAGTCACAATAGATCCTCTGGGTCGCAGTGACGGACAGGCTGACTGCTAGCTCTTCCAACTGTTAATCTAATCTAATCTAATCTAGACATGCTTATCCATAGAAAATCAGACCTAACATTGGGTTATTGTGTTTACGGAAAACCTACGCACACAGACCGATACTTTAATGCATTGTCACATCATCATATCAAGTTAGTAGACCTTGTTTATTTTAAGTGTCAGTACGATATTTCTTGTCGAACAGTACGGATAATAATTATCAATTTGACGTTTGACAATTTCATTCGGACGCGCGGTCGCGCCTCAAAATTCTTGTAGAAAATCACCACCATGGACGGGTGTACTGATGACCGCGGCGACGGGCTCTCGAAACGTATAAATCGCGTGAAATCCGCGCTGGCCGACGTGAAAACGCAGCTCCGCAGGGAGAAGTATTTTCTCGCGAGATATTCCGCGGAAAATGTGGCCTGTGACAAGGTAACTCGCTAAGATATTGTAAATATATTCACTTAACTTGAATCAAATGAACAGATATTTCACAAAAATAATATTTACGAACTGTTGTACTATTGCAAGGGTAATTCTTTCCTGGATAAGACTTTTTCATTTGCAAATGTTTCTGAGGAAACTGTTTCTAATATTATTCTGAATATTAAGGCTAAGGCATTTGGAGCAGATGTTCTAATTACTCTCTGCTGCCCCTTTTGTAATTCCATATATCACTTATTTAGTTAACTGCTGCGTTCCAGAATCGTATTTTCCCAAAAACTGGAAGCTTACAAACGTTCTCTTAAATGTCCTATAATCTCAATTTGTTCCATATCTAACAACCGATCATTGTCCCTTATAGACAGTCTGGACTTAGAAGAGGTTACAGCTGCGTGACGGCTTTGAGTGATATTATGGATGACGTCGTAAAAGTACGAGATGAGAATAGTGCTACGATTCTAGTTATGCTCGATTACACTAAATCCTTTGACATGATCCATCATGGTATCTTAATATCTGTATTAAGGCATATTGGTTTCGATGAGGCTGCCTTCTCGCAAGTATTGTCATTTTTGATTGACATCCTCGGCCCCCTTGTAGTATATATACACGTTAAACTTCCTAAATTCTCGTCCTGTTTCAAGTCGCAGGTTAATACTGTTAACGACCTTCTAAACTCTGACTTGGACAATCTCTTAAAAATTTGTGATGGACACAGTCTTCAAATTAATCCATCCAAATCTGTAGCCCTGTTATTCTGTAATGATAACATGCGAGAGGAGTTAATGGGACGTATAAAACTCAGATTGGAGAATAGTAGAATTTCTTTGTTATAACAGCACCTTCCTTTAGGATAGAAGCGGCGCAAAGGCTCATTATTCTGTGTATGCTTTGTAGGCTTTATATAACTTGGCATGTACATACTATAATTTCGAAATCATAAATATTATTATTATTATTAATATATTACGCCACATTAATATTCCAATACGTCGCTGAGGAAAGAATGAGGTCACTCCAAAAGGCCAGTGTTTACTTTCATGTCTAGGGTGTTGGGAGGAAGTCTATTAATGTGTTTGCTACTTCTTCAGTACTTAAAAATATGTAAGGATGGGTCAAGCGTCACTAAAGCCAACTTGAAGTTTAGGAAAACACTGACTAGGTTCCTAACAGATACTCGACCTACCTAGAAGAACGTAAAAGCATCCATTCTTTATACATTCTTTGACCAGAAAAAGAACCTATTGGCATCATCCGTATACTTCAGTCTGCAGTCTAGGTAGAAGCTGGATAAGTTTAATTAGGTTCATAAAAAAAATACAAAACAACATATCGGAGCTTCCTCTACAACGTTTGCACAGTTTTAGGCCAGTTTCAGAATGAAGCTTAGGCGGACCCTCATTAAGTTTCTTTATGCAAAGGAATATTTTGAAAGATATTGAACCATTTCTGAGCATCCTCCACAAAATTTCTACACTTTCTGGGCAGAAGAGAATGTTGTCAACATCCGCGTTTAAGAAATACCATGGAAGTCCCAACCTGACATCTTCAGTATTTGACTAGAATTTCTGCTCCTTATGTAAATAATTAAAAACAAAAAGGGAGCCAAGGCGAGCTCACACGTATATTTGTTCTCATTCGAGCAAACCAGAAATCTTATCTACCCCCCCCCCCCCCTAACGGTTCTCGAGATTCGACACCATAAATCCCGCCTCTAGGTTATCGTCGGGAGCACAACAGCCGAAACGGATTACCGCCCCCGCGGACCCGCATCCCTCGCAGCCACCCGTCAAATTCGCCCCAAATTCTGGGCGGATGACAGAATCCATAACGTGTCCCCCCCCGGCGTGGCCCCCTCGCCGCCGCCCCGGGTCCAAGTAAACAGAGAACATTTGGAGGATATCGAACGAAAGTGCCTGAGCGGGTTGCATAACCTCGACTGTTACGTGCGCAGCGTTCGTCAATTGAAAAATAATTTTATCGGTATTCTAATTACGAGCGTCTTCTTCCATTGTAAAGCGGTTTTGTCCGCAGGTTTGAGAAGACACCCGTCACGTCCGCCGCCATCTTTTGGGAATCTGGAGTGTCGGTTCTAGTATCCGTGACGTTTCTTCGGTTATTTCAATCCGCTGTAATTGAAATATGTCGATAAATGTGAAACACATGGCACTGTTTTTGAGATTAAAAGATTTGAGTTAAATAACCCCCGTTTCGATATGTCGCCAATAGACGTCTTGGACTTCTGATCCAAGTTTATAGCAATGTAGTGTACGACGTGAACTAGTACATTCTTGAAAATCATCACCGTCGAGACTGAAAGAGTTTTGTACTTGTTTCCAGTTTTGACCCAGCCCGAGGTGTTCACCGCCTTTGTTTGTTTGTTTGTTTCTTTGGTTTGCTGTCTAAAATACAGAGACCATCTGAACCGAGAGCTGGTGAAAGGTTTCAACGAAAAAAGAAACTTCCTTTGTCACTGATACACTTCTCTATGGAGGAGGACTAGAAATTCTTGTACAATTTTCACATATCCATGTCTCAGTACAAACAAAACAAAATTGAAGGTTAGGACCTGCTTTTTTTTGCTTGTAGGATCTTAAAAATTTAATCCGACTTCCATTTTTTCTTTCATGGTAATTTTTCATATAAAATGTTTTAAAATAACATCAACATAATAAAAATAACATCATCAAAAGTCTGCGAGGGCAACCCACGAAAAGTGTGACTAGCGGCACAGGTGACGTCACTGCAGTAGCACGCGCCCGCACTAAAATATTTCCCACTCACACCTTAGATATTAGTGCTGGGCGACCAGATTCATTTCTGTGATTTGGATTCAGTTTGAAACTTCTTTTATTGAAAGCAGATTTTTGTATATATTTAATTTAATATGCCGCTATGAATAATAACGATTTTATTTAGCGAATTGCGAATCTTGGTACCGTTTCATAATTGACGAATCTTACCGATGATATTCCCAGCATTGGTACAGAAATGATCAGCGTCATCCTTCGTTCTCTGTTCTCCGTTTTCAGTAGCGAATAACTTCCGAACGGCTTGATCTAGTGGGCTCAAATTTGACTCCTCTTAAACAGTTCACGAGACACATAAGTTGATAAAAAAAACTTTGATCACACTTGGGTATTCACGTTTTTTTTTATTTTTGTTTGTTTTTCATGCATTGTTATGAAACACGATAAATATCCGAACTTCGTAGCTATCGATGTGGGGGGCTGAGGGGGCCGGGAAGTATTTTTAATAATTTAAAAACCGCATTTGCAGGGTCTCGGAAACAAAATAATTTCAAAACAAAAACTGAAAATTGGGTTCTGCTTATAAAGATAATTGACCATAACTAGAAGGCTGTGCTTCAACCCTCGCGGATAGATAAAACTTTTGTATTTAAGGTTTTCGCCCACTGTACAAGGTGTTCAAGATATATTAAGAAATGTAAAACGTGTCTCAAATTGGCAGCTATCGACTTCAAATTTAGCAAAAAGGTAGAAGTCCACACCCACATTTAAATTGTTAAGTATGAAGAAGTGTTTTTTAAAAAATTTTGAAATTTATTTTTGGGTTAGGTTGGTTTCCAGAAACAAATCCTTTTTTTCCAAATCGGCAAAATTATTTAACCAACAGACGCGGAAGACCCAGTGCTATAACATTCATTTCATGAAGTATATACAGGGTTTTTCTATTATGAACAAACATCTAAAAGACTCTGAAAATTGTCCTCTCCCAGAGGAAATTTTCGATATATTCAAGATATTTGAAAAAATCGATGTGACAATCACCATTCCTCGGGCTCACCCTAGACGCGATGACGTCATTACTATTAGGGCGTACTGCATAGTTTTAGTAAAAAATTATTTTCTCTGAAACGATTCGAAAAATTCTTGGACTAGGAACCTCCGTTTCCGAATTTTTTCAATTATCTGCAAGGTGTGTCGATTATCGGCAAAAAATCAAAAACTTCGTGAATATTGCTGTTTCCGTGTGTAGATTGTTAGCCGTAAATGATAAACTGCAATTTGGTTTAAGCAGTATCGTAAATTGGGTCGAGAGAGAGAGAAAGAGTTTCAGGTTTCATCTATTATACAGGGTACCCGCTATCATTTATACAAGCTTTTATATTCATCAAAGTTTGGCGTGACTTTGAAGTTCGGCGATACGTGAAAGACGCTTTATACAGGGTGTATGCACAATAAAACTGCATTGACTTTGCGTAAGCTCCATAGTGGTCAGCAGGAGGACGATAGATAAAGGCTGTTTATTTTTATCATTATTAATTTTGTCCAAAAATTAAAATTATATTCCGCAAAGGCCTGGAGCGCCGGCACGGCGAAGTGGTGAGGCAAAATTGAAACATCGCGTTAACAATGAAAACGCAAGTTATTTTCGATTAGGTGTCCGCATTGTTTAATGAGTAAATTAGGGCTCCGGGTGCCCTTTTCGGGGCCCCGTCAGACAACGTTATCTCTACCCGCGGCATCCGCGATGACGTGCGAGAAAATCTTGATAGAATCTTCAGTGGGGGAACAATGGCCCCTTAATTTCTGTGAGGTAACGCATCCGACATTGTTGTCGGGGAAAAAGCGGAGCTCGGGGGTTCCATTGTGCCGTAAAGTGTGGTTTTGCTAATTTACGCTATTAATGACAGTTCGGGTTAGTTTAATGGGTATATATACGGCGCCCGGGAGTGAGGGGTTACTTGAAAAATTATCCCCCTTTCGTTGGTTTACGGCGAGAGCGCAATAAGAAAGACATTTTTAGGACGCATGTTTGACAGCCAGAACAACCGTTGCATTTAAAACTGTCAAATTCTTCATTATTAATTTGCGGACATAAAGACACGTCAAGTGCTACATGCATTTTTTTTATAATTTATTGAGAGATTAAATCGGCAGGTATTTTCAAATGTTTGATAAAGACACGGTGTTGTCGAAACAATTGTCATGTCATAATATATAATTTCGTGAAAATCTGAACTTTTAGTTCTTATTTATTTTGATAAATGGATTTTCATCAAGTAAAAGCCACCTCAGTTCAATTTTTTAAAGAAGCTGAAAGTGGTTTCTTGGCTATTTGGTATTTGAAATTACTTCTACGTTTTTTTTATTTATTTATTTATTTATTACAAAGGTGCCCTAACATGAAGAACTAACTTCACAATTTACAAGGACACAGTAACAATTATACCATTATTTAATTAACAAAGTAAAACTTATAAGTAAGTACCTACCTATATCTACGATAAGCAGAAGATAAAAAAAAAACAATCAAACTTACCAAACTAAACCAAAACTAACACTGTATATTAAGTGCGTGAATTACAAAAAACAAATGTGAAAAAATATGGAAAACAAATCAAAAATTAAAATAAATTTATAGAAAAACCCTAATTGCCTGATTTCGAAACGAATTAAGTGATAACGCAAAGATGTCAATGTGCGAAAAATAATTATTGTAATGTCTATGTAAAAGAGATATTGGGGAATTGTTACCTAAGTTTGTATTAAATCTAGGCACGTAAAATAATGAAGGAGTTCTTGGCATTGAAGGATAGTTTTTCCAACAGTAAAGGACAGTCAATCCTACTATTAATAATATTATGCAAAAATATAGCACTGCAGATAATTCTTCTAACAGATAACTTCAGTATATGGTAGAAATTAAGACTAGCTTCATACGAATGAGTTAGTAAGTTACGGTTAAATCTAAAATTTAAATGGAAAACAAACTTTTTTTGTATTCTCTCGATTCTGTCTATATATTTATGATCCTGAGGACTCGATATCACACCGCCATAGTCAAGGTGAGATCGAACGTAGGAATTGTATAGAATAATAAGCGATTTGTGATCCTGAAATTCCTTGCTAACTCTTAATATAAAACCTAAATTTTTATACGCTTTTTTTACTATATTCGAATATGTTCCCAAAACATTTGGTTTTTTAACGAATGTCTGCAAAATAAGGTTTTTCCCAAATACATCAAATTTTTTCTACTCCGTTCTGTAAAATACTCTGTATAATTATGTAACCAGCGATCTAGCATATGGGAAGCGTCACCTTGCCACAGATCCGAGCCGCTTCGGACATTTCCGGGTTTGAGAATTGACCACTGTGCCATTGAAGGTATTCGTGTTGTTTTGCAAAAATGTACCCGAAAACTAACGATTATAGAAAACGTATAGTATGCAACACGTTTGGTAGACTTTTCAAGTCACTATACAAACAATAGTATTGGGTTGTTTGGAAAGTCATTTCGTTTTTTTTGGGGAACATGAAAGACAGTTTTCGTATAATGAATTAATATTTTATTAAATTATATATTGGCCATTCTGGTCCGACACCTTTTGCCATCTTTCTGGCAGTAACATAATTCCCCTCTCATAAAAGTTTTGTTCCTTGCTGGCAAAAAACTGGTTCAGGTGGTTTTTGACATCTTCATTTGAGGTAAAGGTTTTGCCATCCAAAAAATTTTGCAGGGACCGGAACAAATAGTAGTCGGAAGGCGCCACATCTGGAGAATATGGTGGATGTTGCAGTACGTCCCATTCAAGCTATAAAAGCTTTTGGCGAGTGACCAAACTTGTGTGAGGTCTCGCATTATCCTGGTGGAACACTACACCCTTAGTGTTGATTAATTCGGGCCTCTTCTCTTTAAGTGAATCATTCAATTTGCCCAGTTGATGACAATAGACTTCTGAATTAATCGTTGTATTGTCCGGCAAAAGCTCAAAAAAACGATTCCTTTGACATCCCACCAAACGGAGAGCATCACCTTTTTTTGGTGAATGTTGGCTTTAGACGCGCTTTGAGCGGGTTCATCTTTTCCGCTCCATGACCTCTTGCGTTTAACATTGTTGTATACAACCCATTTTTCGTTCCCAGTAATAATCCGCTTCAAAAATGGATCATTTTCTTGACGTTTGAGGAGCGAATCACACACGTCAACGCGACGACAGAAATTTCGCTCCGTAAGGACATGGGGCACCCACACATCGAGCTTCGAGGTTAAGCCCATGCCTTTCAAATGACCATAAACAGTCGAATTCGACAAATTTAATCTCTCACCGATCTCTCGTGTGGTTATTCGCCGATTTGCATCAACTAATGCCTTTATCGCATCTTTGTCAGCTTCGACCGGCCTTCCAGACCGTGGTGCATCTTCGACATCAAAATTGCCG